GGCTCCACTTCCTGTCCACTGGCATCAAACTTCCGCTGATGGATGCGGCTCGGTTGGATGTACAGCACGTAGAAACGTACCTGCAGGTGACAGAAGGCTGAATAAATACCTTCCACTGTACAGTGGTTTTCAGCTTTACTTAATTCTGCTTCTTATCACCAACGCCTGCTCCTCGAACAGTGAGCTGAAAACCCTCACAGTCTTTTTACGATTATTTGCATCTACTGAGAAGAAGGTGTCATGCTGGGCTCTTATAACCGAGTGATACCCCGGCTGGTTTTATTACTGTACCTTTTGATTGTTGCTGTCAGTGATTGCATGTCTGGAAACATCGAGCAGCTTCCCTTCTAAAAGCACTCCGGGGCCACTGTGTAGAAAAACAATAATGAGTATCTAAATGTGTACTGGCGAAATAAAGTGCTGTTTTATTGGGACTGAGTGCTGAATGGGGACTCAGTTAAACGCAGAACTAGAACTGCAGGGAGGATGATTCGTAGCACACATAAATCCTACAAAATAAAGGCATTCAAATGTTCTTCGGAACAAACCAATGCAGTAAAAGTTCAACTGTGCTCTGAAACCCAAACTCACCATTTCCATTTTCTTTAGTCACATAACTGTAGTTTTGTTACTGGATCTAGCAGAGACCACGAACTGTGATCAAAGTTACATCACTTTACATCCAGCCAGCAGCAGGCAAGCAAAATGAAGGAGAAGTCTTAGCCCGGCATGTCTAAAGTCCCTGAATTTTACCACATGTTAGCTGTTATATCAAAACCTCAGGGGATCAATCTGCAAGCTCGCTGTAGGCAGACAATATGTGCAGTTCACAATATTACATTTTTCCCCTACTGGCCTCCAGCACCAGCAGTTTTACTGGCCACATACTGTAATATCTACTCATATTCATATAACTCTTTCCTAGTCTTACCGACTTACTGAGTTTAGAATTACAAAGGAATAGAGCCTGACTGGTTACCGGTAGACTCACTCACTTCCTTTAAAGTGAAAATACCGTCAGCAAGAAGAAAAAATGGCTTCTTAGATAAAATAATAATAACTGAAAAAGTATATAGAACATAGAACGTATGTAGAACAAGTATAGAGAACATTTTATTGATGCATTCCCTCCCTTAGTTGTTATGTTAATAACATACTAAGATATATTAACATGTTAATAACATACTA